TTGGCATTTTTACGATTTCATCTAAATAGCGACATCTATTTAAGCTTGAAAAGGTAAGTAACAAATATAAAGTTACTTTGCTATTTAATTTCTGATATTAGTAGGTATTTTGAATACATAACGAAACAAAAAGGGTTTAAACATTTTGAAAGATTTTTTTGTTTTCATCACGAAAAAATTATACAAGAGATTAATTCTCAAGACATTGGTTTCGATTCTGGCATGATTCTCTAAACTTAAAACTAAATTTAACATCAATCTCTTCTTTTCATTCTGTATAGAGAATGACAAGGATACACATCTTTAGCTATGTTCCGTCCCTATTGTTAATTTTTTCCGACATTGGCGTTGAACATTAATACACTTTTACAAGAATAATATTAGTAATTTCTCTAAGTTTAGAGATTAGATCTCCTGGTTAAGAAACTAAAGTGTAATCAATTGTAAATGATTAGATATCGATTGGTGATATAGATTATATAGATAGGTTTAGAGAATCATGCCGGAATCGACACCACTATATTTCCAAAAAGTAAAAATATATAGTAGGCGAAACTAATATATTTTGCTTATAGCAGACTTTTGTCAGTAAAAGTTTTTATAAAAATAATAACTGAATTATTAAAGTATAAGCTTTAAGGTAGCAGCAAAAATATACTCATTTCTAAAATAAAGTAAATATTTTAGCCACTTACCATATTCTTCCCACTTTTTTACACGTCGCTGTATCGATACGATTGGTTACAATACGCATCGATACGCATGAAGATTTAGTCGGAGCCTCCTGCGGAAAATCAACAGAACTTTAATGTTCTGTTGATTTTTTGTTGAGTGGTTTGGGTTATCGGTATGAAAATGAAATGGTTTTCAATTTGACATCGACTCGTGATTATGTATTACCTAGATAAAAGATTTACTTTAAACACATTTTAAAATGTAAAATACTTATTTTTATGATGTATTTCAAATATGTAACTATTTTCACAACGCATTTTAACTTTATTAAAAATATTTACCTACATTGAATTAGATTATCTTGTTACAAGATGAATTTCCTGTTTTCAACTACAACTTCTTGATTATCAATTAAGAATGCAAACATGAGGAACTCGATGGCTCAAATGCTATCAGTCTGCAATCGTGGAAGTTAAGGAATCGTCTACGATTCCGAACCGAACGAAGCAGCTATTTGGTTATGACGAATGAAGTGAAAAAAAAAATCTATTGCTCACAAACTATATAGTGATGCTAGCGCATCTATTGCTCCTCTGTACTTCGGAAGGCACGTTAAGTCGTTAGGTCTTTAATTTACATCTGCATTTGTTAGCACACACTAATCCGCACTTTGCCCATTGTAAGTCATCCATTGCTGACCTACGTCAGCGTCCCTATTCCATCCAAGGTAGACCTGTGGGAGGCATTAATAGGCTGATGATGATGTTAAATCAGATAACTGACCACGGTAGCATCATTTTAAATAAGTCAGAAATCCCGAGGGTGATTGAGAGGTTCTATTAGGCAGCCATATTCCACACAAGCACCTGTTTAAAGCAAGCCTAAAGATTCCAAGGCTAAGCTTACCCGATACTATACCGAAGATATCCCAGATATCAATCTGTATGAGATTAGTATGACTCTCAAACAACTTAAAAACAATAGAGTGGCGGGCGATAATGGATTCACTTACAGACTCACTCACAGAGCTTCTTAGAGCGGGCGGTAAGGGGCTACTTAAAGTCCTCCAGAAGTTTTTCAATTGCCAAACGCCGAAATCGTGGGTCACAGGTGAGGTTGTTCTATTCTTCAAAAAATGGATGCGTGTAACTTATGTACGCGCGTGAGAAGTTATGCTTCTTTAGCATCATTAAAAATATTTTTTAATTGCATGCAAATAATTAATAATTACAATAAAATAATAAAAGGACTGGAAAAGGATAGTTAACACAGTCAATTAAGTTCAGTTTTAATTTGAAAAATTAAATAAATATTCAAAATATTCAATTAAAATCACTACTGAATTTAAGTTATTAGTCCATATGTAATTAGCACTTGTAAGTAACTAAAACACGTTGTGTCTATATAGAAACTAGAAACATGTGGATAAATATTATAAATATGAAAACAGTGATTAGAGGCGACGAGCGTGCCAACATTGTTTTTGACAACGCTATCATCTTATGGAGCTCCGTGGATCGTTCAAAGTACCTTTCGAACAGATGTCTAATAATGGTGGATTATTAACCACTTAGTGGTTAATAATCCACCATTATTAGACACTAACATTCATAACGCGCCCGCGGCCAACTTCATGGTGTTACTATTGTGTTACAGTGATGCGCGCGCATCTCGAAATTTCACTCACATCATTTTTTCATAACGCGCCCGCGGCTAACTTCATTATGTTACTTTTGTGTTACAGTGATGCGCGCGCATCTTAAAATTTCACTCTCATAATTTTTTCATAACGCGGCTAAAGAAGTATAACTTCAAAAAGGATGATAGCACACTCTGAAGAACTATCGACCAACCTCACTTCTGAGATGTCTATAAGTTGTTTTCGAGAGTTGTCACAAATCGTCTAGCTCGCAGGTTTGACGACTTCCAACCTCCGTTTTCTGAAAAGGCTTCAGTACCGGAAACCACATTCATACGCTGCGGCAGATTATACAGAAAACCCAGGAGTATAATCGGCCACTTTACTTGTGGGCTACAAGAAAGCTTATGATACGATTGAGACCTGGGCGGTGCTGCAGTCTCTCCAATGGTGCATAGTAGACTACAGGTAGAGATGTTATGGTACCTTTACGAAAACGTTACTATGTCAGTCCGATTACAGAATCAGAGCTCTAATCCGATCTAACAGCAACGCGGCGTGAGACAGGGAGATATTATATCTCCGAAACTGTTTCCTGCTGCGTTGGTGGATATTTTCAAGCTTCTGGATTGGAAAGAACGTGGCATCAACATCAACGGCGAGTTTCTGACACACCTTCGTTTTGCCGATGCTGTAGTACTTTTGGCTGAGTCCTTGGAAGACCTGAACTCAATGCTTGAAGATCTCAGTAGTATTTTCCAAAGAGTGGGTCTAAAGATAAACATGGATAAGACGAAAATTCTGTCAAATGTCCATGTTGTACCAACTCCAGTTAAAATTGGAAATACTCCAGTTGAAGTTGTTGACCAGTACGTTTACCTGGGACAGACAGTCCAGTTAGGTAAGACCAATTTTAGCTCGGATGGGTAGCGTGCGGGAAGTTATGTAAAATCTTGCGTCCAAATTATCTCAGTGTCTCATGAGAAAAGTCCTTGACAAGTGTATGTTGTCAGTGATGACTTACGGAAGCGAAACGTAGTCGCTTTCTATTGGTCTTATAAGAAGGTTCAACGTTGCACAACGGGCAATGGAAAGAGCGAGTATTTCCCTGCGTGGTAGAATCAGAAATGAGGAAATCCGCGGCAGAACTAAAGTAACCAACATCGCTCGAAGAATTGCTTAGCTGAAGTGGCAGAGGGCTTACACATAGCGAGGAGAACCAATGGCCATTGGGCCGGAAAGTTTCTCGAATGGCGACCACGTGTGCGATGCGCGATGCGTTTGGTACAGGACCGATCGATGTGGAGATCCTTTGGGCCCCATGTCGTATGTCGTACGGCTGAGATGATGAATATGAATTTATAGTAAGATTTGAAACTCACTTACATCTACCTACATTTTTGAGAACAAAATGCTTATATTGCCAATCAAACTTATGCCGTGTCTCGTTGTATTATACAGTTTAATGTTAGATGATGTCAAAAAGGTCTTATTGATTTGATCTAAGCGTTTAGTGCATACCAAATTAAAAATCAAATTTCACCTAATACCAACTCCTAAAATATTTATATTTTTCTTTGAGTTAATGCTTTTAAGTTATTTGGGTCATTTGCCGCGCTCTTTATTTACAAAATAATTATGCTTATAGATTTATTAAATTTAACAGGAGGTGTAATTCAGATTTCAGCACTGGGGTATAATTGTGAAATAGAATTAATAAAACCAAATAAACATTAAGGATATCCTTAAAAAAATGATTTTCAGTAATTTTAGTTTTTGTGTACCCTAATATAACTTAACCATAATGATATGATGATCACAAAATCAAAGGATATTGCCGTGAATCGATTTTATGATTTTATTTTGTCCGCATCTCTAGTAGGAGTGAGTGCGAAGTAGAATCGAACGGGTGTTCGTCTTGTTCGTTCGTTTCGTTTCGAACCTTCATTCCATTTCTTTCTAGACATGGGCGTTTTTGGTTTTGAACGCAAACGGATATTTATCGGATTTCAGATTTCAAAATCGATTTTAAAATCCGTTTTTAAATATCCGATTTCAGATGTGCTGAACTTAGCCAATTCACTAGTTTGTGTTATGATTTGGTTTTATTAGCTAACGACAATCACAAACAATTAATTGTAGGAAGCAAGGATACTCGTAGATATTCGCGATTTTCCTTCATGCTTTAAATCTAGGCTTAGGACTAGCAGAAAAGTTATGTTTACTGTTAAGAGTAAAACTTTTGCGGCGCATTTAAAAATCGGCTTTTATACAATGATTTCTTTTTACATATTTTTTAGTATTTTTATTTGTTATTCTGTTTGTTTTTATTATTTTTCAAACCATTTACAAAATCAAACCTAATTACTTCAGGTTAGCGTCCAAAAATGTAAGTTGCTCGACTTTTGATGTTTTTAGACGACATATCTTTTCAGTGATAAATAATCCCGCCTCAGAGAACAGCAATAGATTTCCGTAAACAGCAAATCGAAATCGGAGTTCCGAGCACGAAATCTTACTTCCGAAAACGAAAGCATGAATTTCGAATCCGATTTAGATTTGGATACTTGTGGTATTTGGTTTTGGTTCGGTTAGATTTCTGAAATCGGATTTTCTTGTTGAGAAATCGTTCGGTATCGATTTGTGTTTGAAATCGGATTTTGGATTCGTTTTGATATATCGGACGCATGCCTATTTCTTTCTTTATCTATAGTTCCTTCGTTCGTTCGTCGCCGCGCGTTGCGCACGTGCTTCTTTCTAGCTTTCTATTCTATCAAGATACAAATGCCTGTTTTTTAATATTGTGAGCACAATTTGTATAAAACATGAATTCATAAGAAAAACAGAATAATGAATCATCCATCATACCCCACGGAACATGACATGGTGAGTGGAACTATCCGGTAATATTTAAGATAAAGAACTACCAGGCGTCAGCATCAAATTCTCATTCCCATTTTCTCATTTTTCTTAGATAATACAAGCACATTACTTAAATAATTAGAAATCGGGAGGAGTTAACTAGAGGGTTGTAGTTTCAGTCAAAACATTGTTTTAGTTTTCATTTCTTCTATGATGGCTCCTTGGGATTAGAGCTAGAACAGACTTTCAATTAATTGTAGTGCGATAGTTGTGCGGACCTTAAGAGAGTATAGTGCCATTTAAATAAGAATATGAAAGCCAATGACCTCCATCTATCAAATGTCGCTTGAAAAGTACGGTTTGCAAAAACATTTGAACCCTTTTTTAGTACTCTGCCAATTCTAGAATAAAAACCAAACATTTGTAAACAAACAATAACAATTATTGATAATTAATATTAGGTTAGGGCTGCCATCCGTCCGGGTTTCCCCGGATTTGTCCTAGTTTACGGGGCGTCCGGGGAGCGTCCGGGCGGGGTTTTATTTGTAGTCCGGGTTTAAAAATTTACGGCAACGCATGAGTGGCCCTTGGTGCTGCAAGTCTCCATGGACAGCAGTAACCATTTATTATGAGGTAGACCGCTAGCTCTTTTGCCTAGATCCATCATAAAAAAATTGATTTGTGACATTTTTAACTGTTTTTTATTGGTCTGTCCGGGTTCTGGGCTCCAAAATCCGGAGTTATCACGCGTCTTATCCTGGTTGCCACATTTTAGTCATGGCAGCCCTAGGTTAGTTTAGTGTTGTGACCATATGCACGAGCCGTGCCGTGGCAGCGGCCAGCGAAGCGCCAGAAAGAAAATTTAGTTAAATAGAGACCTTTACTACAAAAAAAAAAACAAGTATCACCTCTTGGGCTCTGGAAGTACAGTTTTACAATTAAGACCTCTCTCATTTTTTATGATTATCATATCTGTACAAATATGTAGCCGCGAGGGGGGGAGAGGGTCACCTCTCCCTCTGAGGGGTCCTCCCTAACTCTTATCCCCCTGAAATTCCACTACATTTAACGGATTTAATTTAATTTAACTTTTCCGGTTAAGTTAATTAAAAAAAAACTGCATTTCCGCAAAAAATCTTTTATGGAGGGTGAATGGGAGGTGCCGCCCCTCCCCCTCCTCCCCCAAATTATCACGAATATCAACCACAGCTAATGGAATTAAGTACCAATGATTGATAACCTAAATCGTCAACCAAATGTCACTTTCAGTTGCTTTCAGAAACTATCTAAAATTTTCATTTACATAAAAGATGCATGTTCGTATGTGAACTGGTAATAGTGCATGATTATTCATAACTACTCTGGCGGTAATGCAGAAATGAGTGGAATTGAAGAGCTAGATTCTGATTAACATTTTTTCTCACACAGTCTTAATAAATAAATATTATTAATACTATGTTATTTAGCAAAAAATAATCCATAAGATTAACCCTTTCGATGGATATCATAAAATATGTTGTGTTTCTTTTTCGAGATTTCACGAGTGTGATTCCCAGTTGTAGCAGGGGTTTTAAAAAAATCAGTGAATGCAGTTTTAGTTATTAAAAATAAAATTATGTCGTCTTTCAGTAAAATATCCTATCCTCAATATTTAATATACTTGCCGTCTGTGTGAGGTAGCCGTGGGACACCCTTTATAGGTACATATTTGCATGTGTGCCCACACTTGCGATAATTTCAAAACGATCAAACGATCTGCAACTTTTTTAGTTGCATGCCCCCACAATTTTAGTGCAAAGCGATAGCGCTCACTATGAACGATAGTTGCATGCAATAATTGGTATCGAAAAGTATTTCTAAGAGGTTGTATTCTGTCTAAATAACTGCAGTTGAAATCATCTACTGTGTTACGTATGTGCATTAATTGCACGACGACGCGATTATTGCAGAGAGAGATAGTTGCAAGTTTGTTCTAGCTCATAGCAAGTATCCCGTGTATGTGTCCAAAATGACTTGTCTAGGTTGGTCTGGTGAGGGCTTGTCTGTTATTTTAACTCTACTTATACTGTGAAAGGGCTATGTGCAAGTGTACAAGGGATTGTAACGTCGTATCTACGCCGTCACATACATAAATAAATAATATATGGTTTGACATCCGTCACTTAAGGATTTTCCCTATTTTTTTTAATAAACGAAACACATCTTTAAAAATTGTCTTAATTTTATAAAACATTAAAATAAATACGTAATAATTGTCATTCTAAATTTAAGTAAACTTTTGTAATTTATGGTTTGTCCATGCCCAAATTTAAATTTTAATGCGCCAACACTGAGACTCGCGGCGTTTTTGGAAGTGCGACCTGGCAACATCACTTTTCGATTCTTTGCAGACACGAACAGTCACTTTTAAAAATGTGAAATATAATAATAATTTATAGTTCGGTTTCTTTTTTCAAAAATGCGCTCACCGCATTAATGTGAATTAATATAGGTGCCAATGGCCCTTTAGTAAAACTTTAAAAGAGCTGCGATTGCAGGTAAGAATTAAGATTAAAATTGTCATACATAGGTATATCTAGCCATGTAGCCTGGTCTCACAAATGTCTCTTTTGTTTCAGCTCTTTATACTCTTTATCTTGTCTTTATAATCTTTAATTTTAATGATATCTTTATAAATATCATTTTGATATCCTTGACCATGGACCAGCCATAATAGTCTAAGTAGATCCAATACTTAATGTACTTTGACGCCTGGAATCCAATCTGGTATGTACACTTTCACAATAAATAATTGAAGAGGAAAACACCTTTATCATTCAACCCTAGTCAAAACTGGACTTGAGATTAAAGGCCGATGTTCCCGTAAGTTATTCCGGACACCTGAAGATGTTACCAGCTTCCCGGCGCCCGTTACAACTCTCACTTTAAATGGAAGCTGAGAAGCTAAATCGGCTACCATTACCCGGCCAACATCTCCAGCCTTTTTCTTTCTTTTTTTGAAATAACTAAATAGTGACACAGTTTTTTTTATTTTTTTACCTTACAATGTCGCCTCTCACATAGGGACAGGATTTTGACTAGGATATTTTGTAACTTTGTAAGTGAAATATAGTTATTTTGCTATATCCATCATAACTTTCACATTTTGTTTAACATAAATTCATTAATTTTTCACTTTTGAACTGAATGTTATTATCACATAACATTCATCGAGTAACTTTTTCCATTTTTGCTTCAAAGCTTTGTTTTGGCAAGCTTATAGCCATATTTTACTTTCATTATAAACTAATTTGCTATTATGTAATTAGTACATAATATATTTTAGAATAAATAGATTCTGAGAAGAAAATGTGATGCTAATAACCGTTCACACAACTTTCTTTGACCATATTTTGAGATTTGACAAATTATTTGCAAATAGTCACTGCATAATATTGTTGTTTTGTTATTTAATATGCATTTCAGCTTTCAGCAAGAAATAAATATTGTTTCATGCATAATTTACTTGTGTTAACCTATCATTTACAGAATTGTGTAAACTTAATATAAGTTCAAGTAAGTACATGTGTTTATTACTAAGTGTTTACTGAAAATAGTTTAATTGTTTAATCCTGTTGTTAATCACTTATGCACAGTGTCTATTAATCAGTTTTCTATGCAATTATCAATGCAAAATTAACTTTGCTTTTACAACAACAATACATAACAAGTTTTATTACATGTCAAACTTAAGTTTTGTACATTGAAGTTCAAATGTTTTGATAGTATCAGGTTAATTCTGATATTATACTGGTTAATTCATATTCCTGAATAACTGTTATTGTTTAATTTAACTGTAGGTTTCCATAAACATTGCATTTAACTTTTCAATTTGTCAATAAATTTCCACTTAAACTTTCATTGCAAATCTTGGTATACAATGATATAACTTTTATTGCATAAAGTGTTTGTTTACAAGAATTAGTTCTTGGTAATTCTTATTTTTATTGAATAATTGATAATATTATTGGAATTTAACCTTAAATTAATGTTAGTTTTATAAAAACAACTTAAATTTATTGGAAAACATTACAACTTGGTAGTTTTTGTTAAACTTACAATATAGTTTAATATTTTTCTGTGAAATAGAGAAAATAACTTGAGTCTTATAAGAATCTTACACTATGACGGATAAGGAGTGTCAAACTGATAAAATCATGGCAGGAACTTCAGACAATAAGACAATAGAAACCTGTATTTCATGTTATGTTGCAAATGATCATAGAACATGGTCTAAGTTCATTCCCCATGTTCAAAGTGCTATTAATAGTACTGTTAATTTAGTTACTGGTTTTACTCCAAACTTTCTTATGTTCGGTCGTGAAGTCGTGTTGAATGGGTCCTTGCATATATATTCTTCTATAGATGACTTGTTTGATATTGATATTGAGAAACCTGACGGTTATGGTAATTTGTTAGATTCACTTAAAGATATTTTTATTAAAGTTGTTGATAATTTAGCAAAATCTTATAAAAAGAATGCTAAATTTTATAATTCGAATCGAAAAGTCATTTCCTATGACGTTAGAGATATTGTATGGAGGAGAAACTTTGTACAATCCAATGCAATTCATTTCTTTTCTTCAAAGTTAGCACCCAAATTTGTTAAGTGCAAAATAATTGACAAAATTTCAAATAATGTTTATTTATTAAAAGATTTTGATAAAAATAGTTCTGGTAGATACCACATTAAAGATATTTTGAAAATATAACTTAGATAATTAGGCATTTTGTTCATTTTGATAGTTGGCATTTACGGTTTTCACTTTCTAAATTTCACTTTGGTTCTTTTCACTTGCGTTTTGGAAACGGCCAGCTTGTGAGATGATGAATGTAAGATGCATAAAAGGTTGCTGGCATATTGAATGGTGATGTATGAGTGTTCCTGAAACGAAGAAATGGAATCTCAGTTTTAAAAATTAAATTGGTATCATTTTATTAGGCATGTTTTGGTAATTAAATTAATTTAACAATATTCTATCTGG